CTCGAATATAATGTCTTCTAAAATACCCCTGCGTTTTAGTTCCCTTACACCAGAGGAAGGCATGCCACCCTAACAGCAAGTCATGTCCTTCTAAATTCAAAAGTCTAGTATTCTTTTGTGTTATCCACTCCTTTACCCACATCAGACTCGTCACTTGGTAGTATAATTCCCAATTGGGCAAAGCAAATCTTTCTCTTATTCTTGCATCTTGTAAGCAATTTAAGTTTTATCTCGCTTTCTTCCCCTGCCAAATGTATTTTAGCACTATTTCGTTTAAATCTTCAAAAAATTCTTTCCCTAATTTGATTGGAATTGTCTGGAATAAGTATAAGATTCTAGGCAATACATTCATCTTAATTGTAGATATTTTCCCAATCAGTGATAATTGTAAATTTTCCCATTTTATCAAGTCTGTCGCAATCTGTTGTTTAAGTTTAAGATAATTATCCTCCTTAAGTGTGCTACATCTTGGTGTTATGTGTATCCCTAAATACTTAACCTTATTTGTGACCTGGATCCCCAAAACTTCCTCCAATTCTTTCTTTCGTCTTACTAACATGTTCTTTGCTAAAATCTTTGTTTTATCTTTATTTATTTTCAAGCCTGCTACTTTCCCATACTCTTCTATCTTTTCTATCAGTTTAGGTGCAGACTCCAATGGATCCTCTAATATAAATACCAGGTCATCTGCAAAAGCTTGTATTTTATACTCTTCTTTTTTAATTTTCATTCCTTTTATTTCTTTTTCTTCTCTGATGTTCCTATTCAGCACTTCCAGTGTTAACACAAACAACAGAGGCGACAGTGGACAGCCTTGTCTGGTCCCTTTTCTTATATCTATAAAGTCTGTTAACTCTCCATTTATCATAACCTTTGCAGTTTGTTTATGATATATCGTTTCTATGGCTTGAGTAAATTTTTTACCAAAGCCCATTTGGTCCAATTGTAACAGCATAAAATGCCAATTCATATTATCAAAGGCTTTTTGTGCATCTAAAAACATCAGAGCCATTTGTTTTTCGGGATGTGCCTCAAAGTATTCCAGTGTATCTAAAATTATTCTCATATTATCTTTAATCTGTCTCTTCGGCAGAAATCTATTTTGATCAGGGTGAATAAAATTGTTTAAGTATCTTTTCAGTCTTTCTGCCAGAATTGAAGCAAAAAATTTATAGTCAAAATTTAATAGTGATATTGGTCTTTAGTTTTTAACTTGCTGTGAGTCTGTATCCTCCTTCGGTACAAGTGTGATATATGCTTTTGACCATGTTTTGGGTATTCTCTTCTTTGTCATAACTTCTAATAAGTGAAGATTCAGTGTTTCCTGGAATGATAATTTCAGATAATCAATCTATTTCCCTCCTCCAATTTGAGTCACAAATTAAAAGGAGTTTGATATCTTTTCAATCTGAAAAATGCTACTGAGATCTTCTTGGTTTTTGATTACCATAGGCTAATGTGGCTCTTTTCTTATGATCTCTCTCTAATTTGAATGTAATTCTTGTGTACAAACCTGATATTCTCCATGCCAGTGTTTTTTAAAAATTGGTGAACCTGTTGTAAATTTTCTTGTAAATTTAGTTATCAAGAAATGTAACCAGAAATGTAAGTCAGAGTTTAAAAATTCCTGTGACTTAATCTATACATGTTATTGTTTCCTGCAATAGTTGACAAGGTGGGTTAAGTAGCTGGAGGTTTGTGTCCAGCTATAGCACCTAGACTTATATACCACTTCACAGTGCTTTACAACCCTCTCTAGGTGGTTTACAGAGACAACATATTATCCCCAACAATCTGGGTCCTCATTTTACTGACCTTGGAAGAATGGAAGGCTGAGTCAACCTCAAACTACTGAACTATTGGCAGTTGGCAATCAGCAAAATTAGTCTGCAATACTGCATTTTAACCACCTTGCCACCATAGCTCCATCATTCTCATCATCCTTATATGCTCAACATAAAGACAACTTTTATATGGAATAGTAGTACGTCCAGTGGCTATGGGGTGGTAGTGGTATTAAGATAAAAGCCCCACCTATTGGGTATGTGCATCAATGCCAGGCATACACATAAATTAGGATCTTGCCTTTTTTGCTTTGCTCTGGAGATGCCACTGAGTGAGACTAAATGACATTAGAGTTTAGAATTGCATAAATGTATCGTTGTCAAGAGAAATTTGTTTGTGGTGGGATAAAAATAAAATAAACAAATGAGCCAGCAATATATATTTCAATTTGCAATATATATTAAAATTTGAGTAATAATGTCACAGAATATTCATGGTTGTTTTGAAATTTTATGTTTGTTCTCTGGCCTTCATTGAATTGAAATATATCTTTCATCCTTCTCTCATCATTTACCTAGGGCAAGATTGTTTTTTTTACATCATCTCATGACTCTCCATCTCTGATGGAATCCACTCCTTTTTTATTTTATGAAAAAACAATTTTATAACTAAAATCCAAAATGAAGTACAAAATGTTACTAAAATAAACTGAGATGTTTTGCCTTCTAACAAAAAATAATGAAAATGTAATTTAATATAAAATTAACAGCCTGCCTTAATAAAAACAAGCCTGCCTTCCCATCAGCCTGCTCAGTATTGATCTTATAGCCATGATTCTACTAATCTTCACAGAGCTTGCCTCCTGCCAGCCCCTCCACCCCGATTTCCCAACTTTCATTTGCAAAGTATTGAACATTCACATTTTGCAGTGTCAATAGATTAGTCTTTTAATACTTAAGTAAAATAAGCATTGTTCTAAGCTTAATAAAGTTTGATTATTGACTATTGAAAGTACACCATAGAGTCATACCTGGCCTGGTTATAATTTTATAATTATTATGATTGCATGCTATCCACAATTTCTATGAGACTTCTTTCTCTCTTCAATATTGCTTGTTGTCACTCAGTTCTTATTGTTAGATGCCATTATATGCTGATGAAGAGATATTTCCTCATATTTCTATTTAAACTTTTCTTGAACTGAATAACAGAATAACAGAGTTGGAAGGGACCTTGGAGGTCTTCTAGTCCAATAGATGGATGATGTTTATCTGAAATGGTATAGGGTTTCCTCCCCTCCTCAGGCAGGAAACCCTATGCCATTTCAGACAAACATCTGTCATCATTTGGTTGAAGTCCGTGGCATATGAAAGATTACAATGTGGAACATAGCAATAGCACTTAGACTTATATATAGCTCCATAGTGCTTTACAGCACTCTCTCAGTAGTTTAGTAGTCATCATATTGCCCCCAAACAGTCTGGCTGCTAATTTTACTGACTTCGGAAGAATGGAAGGCTCAAAGTTGACTAACTTTGAGCCGGTCAGGATCAAACTGGGGGCAGTTGATAGAATTAGCCTGCAATACTGCATTCTAATCACTGTTCCATCAGGGCTTTAAATATTTACTAATATTTACTAAATATTTGGTAAAAGACAAGTGTTGAATGCAAAAAATATACTGAGTGTGAGACTAGGAGGTGAAGAAGACTAGCATATTTAAATGAAAGTGGTTTATCATATGGAATAGAATTGATGAATATTAAGAGGCTAAAATGTTTATCAGAAAGTATGAATTAGTGTCATTTCTGTTGTGAGTACATGTAAAAGTAGGAGTCTATGTACTAGTGATAATTGCACGTTATGCTTCAGTAAATGATGGTGATGGAAGAAACAGAGACAAATTTATTTATGTATAATATCATATTTGGCATGAATGTGATCCAGGAAAGTTTTTTGGGGTGATGCGAAGGGATGGGTGGGAATGAGAGGAAGTTCAGAAAATTATTATGAAGATAACATCTGTCTCTGAAAATTGAAAGAATGCTATTGTTGTTACCCTGTGTAGGGGGAAATGTAGTAAGAGTGAATGCAGAAATTCGTTTGTAAAATGTGCCTAGAAATATGTTTGACAGAATTCCGATTAGGAAGGTAGAAGAGGTGACTGAGCCAAATTTATGAAGTGCAAATTGGCTTTATGTTGGTCAGCAAGATGTGCAACTGACACTTTATTCTTCAGAAGGTTACTGAGAAATATATGAATGCGAGAAAGATAGTTTACTGTATTATTTGTTGTTTAGGAGGAAGGGAATTGTTGAATGTGATAAGTGTGGCATGTGCTGATAGAGTATGAATGAATGTAAATGGAATGCTTAGCAAATGGGGTAACACTAAGCACAGAATAAAACAAGATATTTCTGTGGTTATTTTATGCATTCATTCTCTAATGTATAAGAAATGCTTCTGGTAATGTTAGAAGTGTATTGTTTGGGGACAACAATATGTTTGTATTTTAATATACAGATGATGATGGATGAATACACAAATTATTCAGTAATAAATTGTATTATGCCAAGAATACTATGAATCTGTATCAGAAATAGTTGTATTTGATAGGGCAAATAAAGAAAGAATGGTGGAAAAATTAGGGCAAGTAGATGAACTTGTGTATCTTGGTTGAATGTTTGTATGCTTATATATTTATAGAAATTAATTCAGCATATTTAGATATTGAATGTTTATAAATTTTTACACACACACACACACACACACCAGGGGTGGGATTCAACCGGTATTACTACCGGTTCGGTGATTAAGTTTATTAGAAATGGTTAAAGAATGACACTTTAAATAATATTTAAATTAATGATTGTTCACTAACACTCTTCTAAATTAGCATAAGACAGACAAATTCATAGTTTGCAAGGTGTCTTACGCAGGGCTTTTTCCTGTTTTTTTTTTAAATAAAAGCCTTGCATTGTTCTTTTACTGGCTCCTGCACAACAAATCCTGCAATGATTTCATATTGGTTGGATTTGTTTTTCTGATACTAAATTTTCATTTCACTTGTGCTTTGTTTTTCAGCAAGTATTTATATTTTTTAGAATTTGATATTCTTAAATATAATGGTATACAGTGTGAAAACCTTCATATTATAGAGAGAAGTGTACTTAAATAGTGATTAATGAGAAAACATACTTATGTTTCATTTGCAGAATCCTTCACATTGGGTGAATGTTCACCATCTGGAATACACAGATGGCGGAATCCTGGATCCAGATGACATCTTGGCAGATGTTGTGGAAGATAAAGATAAGGTTGATGGAGATAATTTCTTTATTTTTAAAGAGAAAGTGTCTGATTAAGATATGATTTGTATATAATAACTTCATGCTAAATTCATATGTTTAACAGATGCCTGTATGGCTAATATCAAGTTGGATGTGTTAAATGTTTATATTGCAGTCTCATTTTTGTTTTTGTTGAACTCAGCAAAAATTCTTGAAAAAATCCCTTTTATATATTGTTATCATATATTAAGTATTCAATAGGAAAAACACCTTTGCCCTTATGGTTTTGGAATTTAAGAAGTTCATGGGACTAACCATTGATTTTAGATGTGTAGATTTGATTCTTTGATTTCACAAAGATAATGGCATTGGCATTCGGCTTTGTTCGGGTATTTTCCCACGTCATTGTAGTTGTTCTTTTAAAGTTGTAGCAACGTTTCAGCAGAATCTCATCTGCCATCATCAGGCTTCTGTATAGTGTTCGTCTGTGAGTCAGACTTTTACAGTGGTTTCAGATTTAAATTTGGGGCAGCCTATTGCTGTGCCAGAATGGTTTTTTCTTCATCCTGATTGGTTGGGAGTCTTGGTCTGTGTTTATTGGTCTCGGAGTTTGCTGTGTTCTGCTTGATTGGTGTCTCTAATATCTTCTGTCTGTTTTATATACACACACACACACACACACACACACATATTCATTAAACATTTTATAAAAGGTTTAATTGATCCACAATTTGAGACAATATATGTATTCTTCTGACAATACAGTATTTTCATATAATCCTATTGCCCCTACATTGATTGATAATAGCAAACAAATTTCATTTGTGTCTGTTCCATATGTTAGCTCTTCTTTATGAAAAAAATATGAAAGCTGAAATAGTCCATTCATTTGTACTAAATGAATTCGTTACTTTTAAATGATTAGTTCTTAATTTTCCTACTGAGCAGGTTTTAGAAAAAATATTTGTACAAAAGGATTTTTTTCCTCCTCTTCCTCCTCCTCCACCACCACAAAGTAAAAAAAAATAACCAAAGACCTTCTGAATAGAGTCGTAGGAAAGATGATGGAAGAAAGTCAGCTTTTTTGCTTTTTCTCTTCCAGGGAGCAGCTTAGAAAAACATATCCATATAACATATTCTCCTGAACAATCTGTCTCTGAAATGTGAGGTTCAGGGGTGGCGGAGAAAATGCTTGGATCTGCTTTGGACTTACTCAGTTTAATAGAGTGAAATCTGGGTCCTACTTACAATGTTTTAATCATTGTTTCCTGGTACTTTATGCTCAGCAAAGACAATGCTATAGCATCTGGTCTTTTATATCAGATTTTTGCACCTTTCAACTCCTTACAGCAATGGCCATAGCAAATTCTGGGAGTTGGGAAGTTAATTTGATTGGTCACTAAAGTAGAAAGTACTTGAGGAATATAAGAGTATTAATCAGGTTAGTGGTTCATTTGTGATTTTTATGGAAGACAAAATATATTTAATTCTGAAAAATATATTTTGATAATGTGAATATTTGGCAGCGGAATCTTATAAATTATCTTAAACTAGTGTACACTTTCTATAGTCTTCTACCAATGGTGGGATTCAAATAATTTAACAACCAGTTCTCTGCCCTAATAACCAGCTGGGTAGGTGTGGCTGGGTGGTCATGTGACTGGGAGGGCGTGGCCAGGGCGGGCATGACA